TGTTTTTCCTTGGTAGGTAGGTATCTATGGTTTATTACGATGATATTTGTAAAATTACCAACTACCTACCAGTATTTATTATACGTAGCCATGTGCCCACGTAGGTATTATCATTATTTATAATCCTTGACTGTCTTGCACAGTTGCACGTTTTATTTGGAAAAATGAAAAAATATTACTCTAATTCACCGGCATTTTTTATCAAGGTATAAGGACGTAAGGTACGATAGGAAAAACAATAAAAAAACACATTATAGGAAACGTTTTTGGGTTTTCTGACCACTCAGCTTACTTTTCACAACGAAAACGCAAAACCATGCATACGGATACGATAAAAACTAATTTATTCGGTCAAGATCAGCCCCTCGTTTATTTGTTTGGTAAATACATACTGCAGGCAGGTACTCTGAGCTCGAATGGTAGTTTACATTTCGTCACATCGCGATGCATATTTGGCAGATACCTAAGTATTCCGCGTTGTGCAACAATAACCACCGACTGCAATGTATGAGTTCGCGTGCAGCGCGGACGCAGTTAAATAACGTGTTACACGTCTGATTGCTATTGTTGTCCAAATACGAAAAACGTAAGACAAAAAAAAATGCAACAATGTAAAAAATAGGTTTATAAAATAACAATAAACCAGAGTATCCAGTAATTAAATGGATTTACACCGTATACGCAAATGCTTCTCACGGATTTTACTCCCTCTTTTCTTACTATGTTCGTTATACATTGCGTTACGCCTTACGCGGTGGAATTAGTTGAATGAAAAATAGGTAGGTACCATTGTAGTATATGTATATTACAAGTGTCTTGTTTAATTATAAATTATAGTGATCCTACGAAAATGCAAGTGATATAACGAGTAAATTATATCACATCTATATACATTATGATTACACATTTACATCCACATAAATTATTTCAACTGTAGTAGGTATACACGTTATTATTATTATTGTTATACATAATGTACGTGTGAATGGTAAATTTATACTACGTAAAATGTATGGGTATCATTATAAGTTCGACAAACATGATGAATGTTACACTGTGAGCCGACGAAAAAACTTATAATATTTATGCGAATTCCTTACATTTATATATAGATACTATGACAAAATGTAAGCTCCAAAAAGACATATATACTTTACCCTGAAGATAATACAAATTTTAAAACTTTAAATTACAATAATGTGTTTCATGATTTTTTGCTACGATGCCAAGAATATTATTTTATGACATTAATCTTTTATTTAGATTCGTTAATGTTTTATTTATTCTGGACTTCAGTTTATTCTTTTATGATGATTTATGAACAAATTTTTTTTTTTTAAATGTAATATTCTTCGACAATTATAATATAATTAATGTCATTATACGTCTAGAAATAAATAAGTTTATTAACCTTGAATCAGTTGGTATGAACTTAAGAGCATATACGGTATATATACTTAATAACTATAACACTATATTATGTACCTACACTAAGTTTAATAAATAATATTCTTGTAATTTACATTTTAGAAATTTTACTTAGCATAATAACTATTTAAAAAAATGTACCTTGAAGCATAAATGGAGTATCTAGAATCTTTTCGAAAATATTTCATGTATCTTTAACTTGTGAATTTGTGATACTTTTTCTAATATCTTACTCATCTCTGTATATTTTATATGACTATTATAAAGCGACTACTTTCAAATATACGAGTATAATATTTTGGTTTTTTTTTAATTTTGGCTTATGAAAGATTAACAATGGTCGTTCATCCAAATATATTTGTTAATAGTTAAGATCTTTATTTTTGGAATTGATATAGGTACAATGGTACATCAATAATTACTCATATTTAAATATAGTTAATAATAATAATAATATGAATACCAAAGCAAAATAATGATAACAAAAAATATACCTTTAAGATACCACAAAACATAATATATTTTATTAATAAAAAATACAGAAACTTACTAATACAACCTAATTTAAAATGTTTTTAATATAATCTCGATATATTGTAAATTGTACTGCATTTATCTACTTGAGCAATTGTATACATGGGTTTTTCTTAAGATAAAAAAACATTTTATTAATTTTATATATCCCATTTACATACTGACATCTCATTTTAAAAATATTGAAAGTATTTGGTTATTTTGCAAAAAATCTTTTGAACAATTAAAGGAACTAATATAGATTATATATAATCTAAGTTAAGTACCTAAATATTATATTCCCTTTTATTAAATAATGTTAATATAATATAATAATGATCAATATATTATTACTCAAACGGGATTTCTATTTAATTTCAAAATATAAAATATATAGAATAACTACCTGTACTTTCTTGATTATTCGTCCTATTAGGTACTAGTAGTAACATCGTTAAGATGAACAAATATAATATAAGGTATATTTATAAGTAACTAAAGAATATTAAAGATACAATAATATAAAAATGGTAAAAAAATATGTTTATAATTATTAGTAAAAAATTACATAATAATACAAGTGCAGATCATTGTCATATATTCATATGCATATTTACATGAGTACGTATTTTTTTTTTTTTTTGACGTACAAATTTCGATAAATCGTGTTCGTGTTTACTGTCTTGTATTTGTTAAACTAAACATATAAATATATATGAAAAATAAACAGAATTGAAAAGTTATGCATCTATATATACTACCTATAGGTACACAATTATATAATGTTATTGGAAATATGTTTTGATACGAGTATCAGCACATCCACACTGGTAAAATGGACTTATTTTGTACACACCACACGTGGAAAACTATATCACGTTTATAAATTTAAAAAAATACTGTTAGAATGGAATGGGCTTTTAGGGTTTATTTTCGGGACTAGTGGCATGCAGAGGTCGAATAAGGTGCGTTTTTTTATCGGCATAACTGTGTTGGTATAATTTGCATTGATATCTCCCGAGAGAAATACCAAGCCACAATGTATACGTGGTACGTAATAATATAAACCTAGTAGCAATAAAATTAAGTTGAAATGCTAATGAATGACATCACGACGGAGAAAGAGCGCCATCAATAACGGTGGTAATTCATATTACAATGACGATCCCAAACACAAAGAGTATTCTTCATCTTAGGAAAAAAAATGAACGATGTAATGATTCTCCTTCTGATAATGATCTGCAATCACGTGCAAGGATTTTTTAACATTCCTTTCTATGTTTGTTTCATTTTATACCAAAAACCACGGTGAAATAATAAAATAATAATAATCTCCTCGGGATGTATAAGTTTTTATTTCTAAAGATTTTTGTGGTAGTATATGAAACGACGTTTAATAATTTATGTAATCCAATTAAATCAAATATTGTACCTACCATGAACTCCGTTTTTCATTATATTAAACAATAATTTATTTAGCTATTTTAAGTGTAAGCATATATATTTTTTTTGTATACATTTCATAATTGAATATAAAATGTTTTCAATTAAATATTTTGAATAATTTACATAATTACATTAAAATAAATCAACATTTATTCAGTTGTCTTAATTATAAGATAATAATTTATCAGATAGTAAAAGATAAATAAAGATTAATAGAACTAAAATTAATAATAATAAGTTGATCTAGAAAAGTAATACTTCTTATATTCAAAGAAAATTGGGCTTCGAATGCATTTTAAACTGCTCATAGAGTATTTAAAAATAAGAGTTAAGACTAATATATAAGCGAATTATAGCCTATAGGTATCAAGAAGTTCATAAATTTTAAAAAAAAACTAGTTTTTAAATTTAATCACTTGTTGTAAATATTTTTTGATACAACCGCCTTTTATAAATAAAAAACCGTAATATATATATTATATACTTGTTTGCTAAGCTTTCCTTTAACCGTCAAACTTAATAAATATGAAAATGTTTCCCAACCAATGACAATGCTTTTACAGTTTTACATCGATTCTAGAGGTTGGTATATAATAATAATTTGATTTAAATAATATGACAAAACGACGAATTCTAACTTATACAATTTAATAAAATATTTTTAAACATGATTTATTAACCAGGAAAAAACTGTTATTTCATTTAAGGTATCTAAAAATATAAGTATTAACAGAATAGGTTATTCGAAACAAATCAATATCAAAGTACACTGCTCGAGTCTCTAGTAAAATTAATATTATATCTCATAATACTATAATATTTTAATGGTGGCATTGAAAGCAACAAGCTAAACAAGTGTTAAGATGTATACGATATTATCAAAAATACTTGTTCGTTTATGTAGAAGTTAATTTTTTTTTAATGAAACCTTATAAAATTGTAAAAAAAGCAGTAGGTTATCAAATATAATTTTGTACCCGATATATGAAGCTTTAATATTTCTATTAAACTGGCTGCTTGATAAACAATAGTCGAGTTAAAATCGGCACAAGTTTTCCTGTGTGGATGTACTCAAAAATTATTGTAAATGCCTATACTTTCTTTCTTAGATGTGAAAAAAAAATCAAATACTTTAGAAACTTTCGTACGTATCTATAATTAACCACGTAGAATCTCGCATAGTGGTATTTATGGCAAATATTCATGAAATTATATTCCCTGGGTGTCTACAATCCATCGGCTCCCACGGACTCGTATCCCATTCTCTTTCTTCCAAATTCCAATTTCAAATTTATTTTCTAACAATAATCTTGTTATTACTGTTACAATATTATAATAGTTAGTCTGGTTTTAAATATTTTTCATCAAAAAAAAGTATTGAACCACGTAATTTTTAAGACTATTAATCTTTGAAAAACGAATTCTTTAAAAAAAAAAAACCCAGGTGAAAGGAGTACAGATAATCCATCAAATTCGAATAAAAACGTCGGTAACTCGAGTTCCCACTATACCCGCCTGAAAATTCGATCTATAAACCTATTATTGGAAACTGTCTCTATGTATAAGCAATATGCATAAGGACTATTAATTCATACATATATGTATACTTATAGATCGATCTCTCACGATGACCCGTCATTGGGCGACGAGCTTGTTAATCATCGCACAGATATGCAACGCAGTAAGAGAAACCGAATGACACCACTTAAAATAATAATAGCCAACATTACCATAATATAACGTAATTGTCTTGCAGGCATTGGGCGTGGAATACGATCGAGCTCTATTCGTCAAATCCGATGACTTAAGAAAAGCAAGAGGTAAACAAAGTGGAAAGTGCAGGAAGCCTTCGGCTATCGGCGTACTGTCCATTATTTGTATATTTTATTTGACTTGTTCACATTTCAGAAATACACACGAAAGTTGCCCAAATAGCTCCAAATTCTATGGACCAGACGGTAGACCATATACTCACGTGGTTACAAACAAGATATCAAAATCAACAGTTCCAGCGTTTGGGTAATATCATACAAGTTGTTGAAATACTTTATGTTGAAAAATGAAATTGACTATTGTAGTGTTGTCTTAGCATTATATACGTAAAGAATGTGGACAATTTGTAGTAAATTATTCATCTCATTTCTCTCGGTAACTCTGTTCTCTGAGGCTCTGACTACTGTTTATAATGGTCTGAACGAATTTTAGATTGAAATTCTTAACTTCTTAAGACTAACCTATAGTTCGATTTACATTATTTTAATAAATACTTTAATTATACAATGATCTATTTGTGATATTTTACTTAAACATAATTACATACGGTAACTAAAAGTTAATAAATATTTTGTTCTATACTATACTGAGCTTAAAGTCATAACAATAACGAATTATTACTAACGAACTACGATTTTTTAGCTCGCCAGGACAACAACGAACAGCGTCCGCGCCCGTTTGTAGCCTCATCTGCTCAATCGGACTACCGAGGATACCTACCCCCACAACCACCACCCCAACCGGAGTTCATCATACCTACGACCTCGTCACAGTATCAACCCACCGCAACCCCGTCCGTAGAAATAAGTCCCTTCTTTGGACAGACCTCCGAACCCAGTCAGACGGTACCACCCCCATCACCATCGGAAAACACTTCACCTCAGCCTCTGGCACCGATTGCGGGGTCCGAACCATCACCCTCATCCTCACCAGACGTCTCACCACAGACACCAGGTTTCGTGGACGAGCCAACCAGTTTCCAAGTCACTAATCCATCACTGCGACCAGAATTGAATAACCCGGAAACCCTCCAAATCAGCACTAATGACTTTGTACACCCACCACACATACACGAGATGAACGTGCAGTGTTCGAAAGACATGATGACCATCAATGTCGAGTTCAACAAACCGTATGATGGCGTCATTTACTCAAAGGTTAGTATGATCAATTATCCTATGTAAGTTCGTCAAAATCGCCAAAAACCGCGATTTAATTCCTACCATAAATCTGGGATTTCCCGGAACTTGCAGGTTTTTAATTTATCATTGAAATCCGGAGATACCAGAACTTTCCACCTTTTTTGCCAGTCAATTTTCTGAAATATGAGAAATTAATATTATTACATATTAATAGAATATGATTAATATAATATATGTATATTGTCATCTCGCCCAAATATCGAGTTTCGTTTAACACTGATGTAGTGATATAATAGGTATATGCAGGATCTATCCACGACGTGCCTAGTGTCTGTGCATCTGTAAACCTAAATTAATCATTTTTTGACTTAGTAACTTTCGTAATACGTATAAGTTATAAGTAATACGTAAAAATAAAAACTATTATTTTTCACTTAAAAATTGCATACAGCTTAATTAATAAATGTTTTTAATCATTAGACAGACAATCTATACGTTTATAGGTACATATTTCTATACACAAATTGTAAATTATCCAAAAGAAATCATGGAAACCCGCCACTAGCTAGTGCGCTGGCATAATAATGATTATTATTTATTATATTGGGACTGTAGGTACTTGTAGCGTTCGGTGGGTCGTCCGGGAATTCCCAGAAAATCCACCTACCGACCCACTCGAAATACCGAGCGCTTTATTATTATGTTATTATTCGATCACATGCTGATAAAAGCATAATTATTATTGTTCCACACAGGGGTTCTACAACACACCGGAGTGCAGATATGTTAACCCGAATTCCGGCCAGACAAAGTATTCGTTCAAAGTGATGTTGAACTCTTGCGGGACTCATTTCGTCGACGAATTCTCTTCGGGCAAACAGGCATATTTGGAAAACGTATTGGTCGTACAAAACGAACCGGGGATACAAGAAGTAAGTTTCGGTCATCGTATTTTTCGTAAAACACTCATAATCATGGCAATTCGTTTAGGTCTGGGACGTCATACGTTCTGTCAGATGTTTGTGGGAAGGTAATTTGAACAAAGCTCTGTCTATCGCGTTGAATATTGGTATGTTGAACCAGGAAGTGGTGACGTTTAGCGGAGACACTGCTACTGCTCGACTCGATATCCAAGTAATGAGAACCATATTATTGTTTTAATCGGATTTTTTGATAACAAACATAAAACCTGGCCAATGAAAACAAACAATGTATTACGTTCCCTGAACCTAATATTCTTAAATGAACAATATGCATTTCATTAGCTGATTACAAATTTACAAAACGAGCAAGTTTAGATAAAAATTGTGTTAATAGTACATAATTAGTAGATCAATAGCATGATAATAATAACTTGAAAACTCTGTCGATTAATTCTCCTTTATTAAGTATTTATTTTGTAAAATATAATTTATGCAAGAGAAATCGTTAATAACATTTAACATGTAATTAACTTTTGAGCAAAAGTAATAATAATATACTTTAATGGATCGACATATACATGATTATATGTCAACCCACTGGTTGTTTATTAATATTATGTTAAATTTTAGTAATTAATTCAAACTTCATCATGGTAGCTTTCATAATTATTTTGAAAATCACTTGTTTCGATCAAAAACTTAGCTCCTACGCGTTTTCATAAACCTAACGATAATCGTTATTAATAACATATTTTTACAGGGTAAGACTTAATTATAAATGGTATTAACTATTTAAAAATGTCCGTTCAATTTTTTTCTTGAAAGTAGTATTATAGGTACAATGAAATTTATAATACATTTATAATACAATTTCCCGATAAGTACCTCTATATTATGTATGGTGTATCTGGAAAAAAATTATAGGTAAATAAATACTACTCGTAAATAGTATTGTTATAGAAAGTACCATCTAAAAGTTATTAAAACAAAATGTAGGTACTTGAGAAAAAACCAATTCGAAAAGAATATGCTTGTACGTACAAAAGTAAAAAATAATTTATATTTTTACTAATACAATTATTTAATCTTTTGTTTAAATTGTGGACATATTATGTGTTATGACTTCATTATAGTTTAATAGTTAACTATCTATAACTGTACATTTTAATGGGTAAACTCGTAAAAAATACAGAATGGTTAAAAAACATTTTGTGAACATTTAGTTAGTTAACAAATTACCTACGTACGTAACGTTGATTTTGTCAAGCATAAGCTATAATGCATAACAATATGTATTATAATATGCTATACAGCGATAGAAAATGGTTTCTATGAATTATTACTGTTACGTATACGCGTACACTTACGTTATAAATTTATGACTATTAAACTAAATCATTATTATTTGATTTATTTTTTATGTTTTGTTGTTTAAACATATTAAGCAGATATAGTTGCAGTGTTTTTGTTTTCTACAAGTATATACTTTTTTCTGAATGCTCTGTAGCCATTACTTTTTATACCAACACTTTTCTATTGTTGCTTTTTTCTAAAATGCTCATGTTTAATGCGCCAAAATACTGGTTTACGTACGTTTGCTCTAATATGTATAATATTTTTTTTTTTTTTTTAATATTTTAACTTTATCTTTATTAACGCTATTAACTACGCATGTCCTCACAGACCGGGAAGGGACCGTTCGCTCCCATCGCTAGTGGTTTGGTGAAAATCGGAGAGACCATGACGTTGGTCGTAACGGTGGATGGTGACCCCGGATTCAACATTTTGGTGAGGGAGTGCGTGGCCCGAGACAACAACCCCGAGTCGGGCAATCAACTGCAGCTGACCGACGCCCAAGGATGCGTGGCGAAACCCAAACTTTTCGGCAGCTTCCAAACAACGACAAACCCAGCTACTGGTTCTTTGATAGCCTATGCATACTTCCAAGTACGTATATAATAGTAATAGTTAATTTTATTGTACCGTACTAAGTCATTGAATATGTATGTATTCACTAGACCATATAAATAAGAGGGCATAAATAGTTATAATATAAGCATAACAACTTTCAGACGTTATTGATATTTTCTAGAACATTAAACTGAGGACTTTTATGAATATATAAAATGATAATTTAAAACCATTTTAATCGGTAGTAGTGATAATACTGATTGTAATAATTATATTATACGGTGTGTAACTTATTCATAAATAATATATATTTTATATTATCAATTTTATATTTTATACAATACATTATCAGTGAAAAATAATGTTTTTCATATTTTTGAAGAACCATAATTATTATTTAACCATGCATGCAACAACATAGCTATAATACATAGGTAATAATTATAATTATATATAATAATATAAATAGGTTTTTTTTAATTCTTATATTCTAAAAATTTGTTTATACTTATCAATAATATTTATATGCAACAATTTTTTTTTGAGTGTTTCCTTTTTGTTTTCCATATCCTTCAGATCTTTGTAGGAAGCGACTCTCGTATCCTTTGTAAGTTTGTTAATGTACCTTGTTCTGGGTCTTCCTCTTGAACGCGTTATTTCTATAATTTCTTCGGTTATTAAACTTTTTGTTTCATACCATTTCTTTACCATGCATCAGTGTGTGCCCCGTGGAAAATCCGTCTCCTTTACTCTTAGTATCTGTTAATGTTAATTTTTGTTCAACAATAGGTATATGTATTAAGATGTCTTCGTTTGTTTTTCTTTCAGTCTAACTTATTCTTTGCATATTTCTCCAACACCCAATTTCTAGAACACCTAACATAATATCCTATTTTTATTATTATATTTATTTTTGTTTATTTCCCTTGTCTCACATATATTATTCATATTATAATGCCACACTCCAGATATACATTTTTACTAGCTTATTTTTTGGTATTTATGTGATCATATGTTTTGCTGTCAGCAATTTCTTCTTTTTGAGAAAAATATTTTTTAATTGTATTACCTATATAGTAGATGCTAAATGTATAAATACGTTGTGTTATATTTAAACCTTCGCACATTACATTTTCGTTTAATACAATGCAAGAGGATCAATCTTAAAATACTTTTCATATTCCTACCGTCGCTCTGTCACTATATAATATGTATATTGATATTGATAACTTGTAAATATTATGTGCAGTTTGTCATACTTATACAATTATTACTATTACTTTATAGGCGTTCAAATTTCCGGACGTCATGGACCTGTTGATCGAGTGCAACGTCGAACTGTGCAAAGCCAACTGTCAGCCGTGTTCAGAAACGAATCAAGTGAGTATAATAGATTCAATAAATGTAACACAAATTAAAAATTACAACAATGATAATTTCGATTAAGTCCAACGATAGATATTATAATACCTACTTGTCGATTTCGTTGAAGTAGCGAAAGTAACCTGTCAAATTATAATAATACAAGCGTTAACATCGATCGTCTAGCTCAATATTTTAGACGCGATTCGCTTTATAGACAGCTTCAGCGTCGGTAATCGAAGTTTAAAATGGCTTTTAAATCTGTGATGATATTTTTACGCGTTTAATATAAAATATAAATTGTGTTTTCGGAAGGTGCGTCTAATTTGGAATATTATATTGTATGGTATTATTTATCACACAACAACCGTCAGAAATATGTCCGGAGAAAATAATTCCAACGCAACCGTATAGAATCACCGGATAATCACTCACCTGCCATACGCATACATTATAATTATATATTATGCCGTGCGATACACAATTGCATACTTATTATAATATTATACAAGTATCCTACCAGATCTTATAAACTGTAATTTATATAATTATTGCCTACATAATATATACTTATATACTGCCGGTGCAGATGTCCACCGGACTTTTGCCAGTTGTTTTGGCGATTCCGCTGAGGATCGAACATTTTTTGAAACCATCCACGTGTAAAAAGTGGAATGTATCAATCAAGGCGTCGTTATTATATCCATTACATAATAACAATCACCGAGAATCGAGAGATAATGCTGGTTTTGTTTTGTTTTTTCTTCACCAATTTCTCCGTTCTCTAGCGAAATAGATATTTTATTTTTATTTCTATGCTCTGCAGTCGGTTAAATAATTTTTCCTACGCACAATACCTATTTATAAACAATACTGCGCGGTTGCAGTAAGCCGCACGACCGGCTGGCTGGCGGGGCTTTCACTCGTGGATGTCACAGGTCACGATCACCGCGCATATAGTAATAATGATGATAATAATAATAATAATAATAATAATAATTGTTCCGCAGAAAATCGATCCCGGTCGTAAAAGACGAGACGTGCACAATATTGCGACGAACAATACGATCAATACGTCCGACGACAGTGCGGATTCCATGATGTTGGTCGGCCGCGTACACGTTTACTCGCCCGACGACCTGCTGGCCGACAATTTCAATCAGACCGCCACCGACGTGCTGGATCCGCTACAGGCGTTCACGATGGGTAATAAAAAAACAACGACAACGATAATAATAATAATAATAATAATAATAATATCAACAAAACATAATACGACAGCGATATTAGTCACCTAGGTAGTATATGATATTATTCTGTCATTAAATGCGCAAATTAAAACTTTATGTCGTCGTTAATCGTACAACATCGAAATAGGATTTTTTTTCGCAGGGTAGTAGGATTTTATGCAATTGCCATATTATTATTAGACTAAAATAGTATGCAAATAAATCATAAACATAATGTTGCAGGCATTCAAATAAAAATGGTCGAAAACTATTCCGCGCAGAGATAGCTGCAACGAAATGAAACCATTTTGGTTTTATTTTAATTAAAACAACTACCTACGAGTTATTGTTATAAAATTGAGCTTAGCATTTTATTTTGTTTGTTACATCATAGCAACGTACAGGTATCTTTGATGACTTGCATCATCAATCGACAGTAATAGTTAAGAGTACATACGAAATGTTTAAAATCTGTACTTAATATTATAATATTGTATAATAGCAGCTTTTAAAACTCACATGTACAATTAAAAGTTTAATACCAAGAAATTTTAAAATCTGTTTGTAATCTAAACTATATTGACGCCCAAACATATAATGATGCAATCGTATCTAATAACTATTACGGTAGTTCAGGTAGTTGATAAAATCGTTGAGCAAATAAATAATTAAACTTTAGCGTAGTCGTTCAGCACTTTCAAGGGGGGATAACGTTTGTTACTTCTGCAAGGAAGTGTTATACTGTGTTAAAAGTTGAAAGTGGTGTCTATAATTTATAAGTAACATATTGTTTTTGTGTTATTAATTAGGTTCTCACCACCAACGCAATCATTAATTTAAAAGATTGAAACAATTTCTACTGATAGTTTGAAAACTTGTATCTAACAGTGAAACTGCATTCATAAATAAGTCAATTGTTAAGAATAAAAAACTTCTATAATAATATATTATTCTTAAATATGTATTTATTTGATTATACGTAGTATTTAAGTAATGAATAACCATCGAACTTATCCATTATCATAGTGTTCTTTACTTATATATTTTATAAAGTCAACAGTATTAACTTTCACTTAAAAACATAATAATTAAGACACAAATAATATATATTACGCGAATCTGTAAAGAAGATAACAACTTATATTATAGTGAATTTTTATTTATGACTTAATATAGGAAGCGTGCAATTCGTTTTTTTTTAACTCGAGTCAAATTAATATTATCATTAAAATAAATGAATTATGCGCATATTTTTAATTTTGATGCGCTAGTATATACAATATACATAATATACACTTATTGGTACATTCTATAAGGGTTATGCCACTTAGTATAATTAAAATTATAATATTATATAGATACACTCATAACTCGTATAATATAATAGTTGATGATAACATAAGAAAGTTATTTTTTTATTTTCTACTGAAGCATTACATCTTCTTTTAAATATATTTTCAACTCTGTGTGATCTATCCACCATACATTTTTGACGTAACAAATATTTTTTTTTCCTTTTTAATATTCACTTAATCGTTTAATATAGGTTTAGGATAATTACGAAATCATAATTTTATGTAATTCTAATCATCTGACTACAGAAAGTCTACTGGAACTGGAAGTTTTTTTTTTTGCACTATAATATTAATAATAAGTAATAACAATATACTTTGTAGTTTGTACTATAATAATTATGTTAACAATTTTAATTTCACATACAGTTTAAGTATGTCGGTAGTATTTATCTCGTTACATTACAATATAATTTTTTAGTATCTAGTATAACTCAAATATAGGTCCATTAAACATTACAATATAACTTATAGATATACGCACACAACTACTGTAGGTACATCGTAAAATATGCCGAATATTATGACGTTTATAATATTTTTGTATAAAATAAATACATCATCAATTGTCATCTGTTTGCAGGCGACAGAACTTTGTGCATCTCATCAAAAAAGTTTTATATGACGTATTCCTTTATGGTCGCAGTCACATTAATATCGAGTGCAATGAGTATGGTCCTGTGGATTCGATTACAACGCAAGATCTATAAAGATTAAAGGGTAACTAAGTATAGAAAATGTGTTTTAAATGATTTTATTTCGAGATTGAATTTTATCATTTTTATTACAATGTGTCTCTTGTAAAATAAGCGAGAAGACCTGGACAGAAAACAGTTTTCAATTGCTTTATATTACTGATGATCGATCATTTAAAATGGTTATTATAAACGTATATCATGTTATTTTTTATAAATGTATAATGTATTTATATATATACGAAATATTTACTATTTTTTTACATTTTTTTTATTATTTTTTTACTTTTTCAACAATATATATAAATTTAAAACGATTTATGTATTTATAAATTATATGACACTATTATAGTATTATCTAAACTATGTATTTAGCACTTAATTTCTAATTTTTAATAATAGCATAAACTATACAGTATATAGATTATAGATTTTATGAAGTGTACATAATATGAAGAATTTTTGTAGGATGTGTGATGTGTATGTATTTTATAAGCGAAATAAACTCACATTTATAATAATCTAATTCATTGTTACATAATCTAATTTTACGTACCTACCTATTTCGTTTTATTAAATGGCTTTTATTAACTGTTTAAAGCACAATAATATTTGTGTATGATGAAATATAGTTTGTGCAGTAAAACGGAACAGTTGCTTTTAATAAGTACTCATTACAGTGTTACAATTATTTAAAAACAATGGCGTATCTAAATTGAATTTTTCAAACGTAACACATCGTGAAATTATACACGGAGAATGATCTATGAGGTACGGGGATGGTTGAAAGCGCCGAAGACTCCAAATTAAAAAATCAATTTATATGTTTTTTGTTATTATAGTTTGTTTAAAAAACATATTTTCTATCTTTTATGTCTTTAACATTTTTCATGACAAAAGAGTTAGATAAAATTCATTATGTTACACTTCTAAGTCAAACTGTGTAAATTTCGGTATGTAAATCAATTATGATTGGATATTTTGGAGTTCTTGAAGTTTTTGAGTTTATATCCACTGACTTCAATCAAAGGAATGCTATTAAACACGTCACAAAATCAATTACCAATTACCATTTTAATTTGACATTTGTCTTTGACTTCCTACTATTTGTTTGGACTCCCTTCTTAAAAATATTCGACAATACTTCAAAGAATCTTCAACCAATTAATATTGGTTTGACATGTTTCGTGCTCTCGTGCTCTATTATATGTCATACTTATATTATATTAAAAATCAGCAAAACAAATTTGAAATATTTTAAAATGAAGTTCAAGTAATAAATGGTGCTAACGCATTGTCGTGGAAAGAATCTAGAATTAAACGAAGAAATATTTTTTATGATGAAAAACTTGTTGCTACAACATTATTTTTTAATAAGATTACAATATTAAGAGCGTAACAGTTATTTTAATAATGAGCTCGTTAATTGGAAATAATTGGTCGACTTATTATAATAAAAGTGGCGTATTACCATATTACCATATTATAAATGTATATTGTATAATACATACAAATTTATGTCATCAGTTTGGAGTTTTTCTGGTATTAAAAATCAATTGACCTGCATAAAAAGCATTAAAGGTTCAAGCTAGTGAATAGGTATTTATAGAATAGATATTTGGATATTTAAAAAATATTTTTCTGACACAACGTAAAAAATATAAAAATATCTTAATAGTGCGTCCTTAAAACACAACATTCCCTAATTTCGAAATTGTATTAAATACTAAATCGAATGCCATTGAATTGTATCAATTTGAATGCCATTTCTAATACAAGTTTATTCTAATTGTTCATATTTTGTATGGTTGACACCTACATTCTTTTTTTGGTCATTTTTTCACATACCTAACGTATTTATCCGAATTGTTTATTTTTTAATTTTTTAATTGTAATGATTTGTTGTGTGCTCAAAAATTATTACCTATATTGAAAATATAAAAGTGTTTAAAAAATATATACTAATTTATCATAGGTACAGTTTAAAAAATGTAGTATTTTATCAGATTTAAATAATATGCATATTGTTTAATGAAAACATAGAATTATTACATGAATGATGAGTTATTTTCGAGCATACATTAATCGATTTTGATAGAGGCTTAAATGTATGTCTTGGCCTGGCTAGAAATTATATCGAACGTCATGTTGAATAGGGGCACAAAGAGTTATTGCCCTAGGGCAGTAGCGATACCAACGATAATTAGCAGGCCAACGATTAAACTGTATAATATTGAACATATTATACAGATTCAAGATCAACGGAAAATATAAGTACGCACGAAGATTTCATACTTACTAGTTACCACGATGTAACCTAATTTCCAAAATGTAAAACATTTTAACACGTGCCCTCTTTTTAATATAAAACAACACTTGACACTGCAATAGTGCGAACAATCTATCAAAATGGACTGTCGGTTCGGCGTTGCGCCTTTAGTTAGGAATATTAAATTCATAAAAGTGCTGCAATATCGGTCAACGGATCGAGAGGAAGTTTTTAATACCTCGAGACTGAGAGATAACCGAACATTTTTATTTTTTTTAATTCAACACTTTCAATCACTCGAGATTTACAAACATTATGTCTCGTCACGATGCACAAGTTGGTGATATAACGAAACGTAGGTATAATTAATATGGGTTTAATAATTACCCATGAAAAATATAAAAATATATATTGCACGTGAAACGTGATAATCGACAGACACGAAACTTAACTATCCTCAGTACAATCGGTTTATTTTACTAAAATATTTAAGCATTAATTATCTTTAATAATAGTTCATTATTAATTATTATTACGCCCCAACAGACAAGGGTCACACCGTTCACATAAAAAATTGATACGCGAAATCTCTATTAAAATAGTCTACGTATTATTATATTATACTCTTGTTCTATGTGCTGAGTATTATGCTCTACTTGGATCTCGCCGCAGTGGTAACAATATAATTTATAAATTATAATATTATGTTAAATTTTTCTTTAAGGTATCCAAAGATTTGATTAGAAAACATTTCCAGCGATATTATTATTTCCTTTTTTTCTTACGAATCTACTGCTTACAAACTTTAATAAAGTTCAAAATACCATGGAAAGTTTACCAAACATTTTAAAATATTTAAATTTCTCATTCATAATAATTTATTCTATACAAAATATCTTGATTGTTGTTTGTCTTTATTCATAGGTAACCAGAGCAAAATTAATTAAGAAAAAAAATCATATTAAGACGCATATACCCGCGATCATAATATAACGCAGCATAATATGCATTTACTTTTAATATAAATAAATAACCAACATTTTAAATTATATTTTTCATCGCACATAAACATTATTTAAACATCAGAATATGTATCTATTCTATTCTTATTTTACTATGGTTTGAAGTGTATATAATATTATGTCTTGGAGATCATATAAATAAATGTTCTCTTCTTGTATTGTGATTATAAGGGTAGCTAATGCTCTTTTACCGCCCCATAATTATTCACCTGCGAACAGTATAAATGTCCGATTGGACAACTTATACATTATTGTTTTCCTGATTTCTCTTCGAAAATACATAAATGATAACTTTCTTTTTTTAATCTTAAAAATTGTATTCGAAAAAGTAAGCACGCTCATGCATTTATTGCACCACAAATATAAAATAAAACAATAAAATGCAAACGGACATTGGTTTCGAGATTACAAAAGATCCATTTTTATGAACTTAAAGGTTATTCGGGAACTTTTATAGAAAAAATAAGTAAATACAATTACACGGAACATGCTTTGCTAACAACCAACGCAAGTGGTTCATTAACCAAGAGTGCCTTTTTAATTTAAGAAAAAGCACTTAAACTTTATCGTAAACCACAGACAGATTATAATAACGACAGCAAAAACAATGAATGACACATGAAGTTTTTGTTTTAAACGTATTATTCAAAGTAACTTATAAGTAGATATTTAAAAAAACAAATAAAAATAATTGTATAATATTTAATAAACTTGAGTAGTTTTCAAAAAAAAATTAAATATGATCTATATAGTATTATTACAGTATACCTACTACGTGCCTAATATGATACAGTGCAGAATGAAACAATAATTAAATTGTAATCATATAGAATTACATCTTCAAAACAAAATTAATAAAAATTATTTTTACATTTACATTTAATAATGTCTTTTAAATATGTTTATTTAAGTGTAGAAAAGCGTAATCGTTGAGTGAGGTAAATCATTCGTCCGGTCATTATTTTAAATATGGATGTGGCAGTTATTAATTATTATTAAGCCCCTTCATATTATGCAACGAGGAAGATTATCAAAAAAATGTGACTTGTTAGTTATTACTTATTACTTATTAAATGTATTTTTATTTTATTACCACTCTCAGAAACATGGTTCCAAAGAAGTCTCATAAATATTTAAAATCTGCGATACCTCTCTTTTCTACCTATTAAATCAGAAAATAACAAATTCAATTTTTAATGTGAAAAAAACATATGTTAAAAGTATGGCATTTAAATCATTTAAAAACTATAAGACAATCTTGATGTTGTAGTAACATAAATTACCTACGCGCAAAATAATGTCATTGCAGAAAGTGATCCTTTTTTTTAAAGAATTAAAAATCAAATACCAATGTTTGTTGTTATATAGCACGATTGTTTTTAAATTACCTACGTGTAATATAAGCGAGCACGTACAATGAATAATTTTTTCCTTCCTATTTCAGTGAATCACGAATGGGTTTTGTTAACGAAAACCCCTGTAAAATGAGAAGAAAATATTTTAGTACCAATCGATGGAATAACATAACTTGAAGTCGGCTTGTATAAAGTTATGTTGTTATTGTATTTTAAAGATCTTACATTTTTTATACAATATATACAATATAGGTACCTACACAGTAAGACGTAATAATAATAAATGGATATACACATTTATGTTTATTTGCTTGTATGAATTTGTTCACACTAAACAAAAGGATTTTTTTGCAGTAAAATACTGTACAAAATTTAATTTGCTCATAACACAGTAATAATGTGGTTTTCAAAGAAAAAAAGGTTCCTCAACCCTTTTAAACTTATAAAACAACTATTAAAATATTTATAGCCCAAAACACATTTTTACAAATAATGTAATATTTTAGTATTTTACCTACAACCTACTTGAGTACAAAGATTTAACGTAACGTTAAATATAAAATGTACCTAAAACGCTATTTTATTAGACTTATGTACAGTTTTTGTT